TTTATTCAAGTGATCATAAATTCGAGGTATTTCCATTCAAATACGTTTTGAGAGTTTCTCATTTTCAATTAGAATACTGTTTCCTCTCTCCATTGCATGGGAGTGTACCCACAAGTTAAAATGTGGAGAGAGCAATATGTGTGTGTGTGTGTGTGTGTGTGTGTGTGTGTGTGTGTGTGTGTGATTGGTGGGTGGGCTGGGCAGGGGCAGGGAAATAAAAGGAAACTAATGGGCCGAATCTGGTAGGGGAGGTAAAATCTTTACATTCTTAGGATACTGACCTAAGAACATCTGAGAGAAACACAAAGCTCCTCCATGAGATGGGCCCAGACACTATTTCCAGAGCGGGTCAGCCTTAACCTAATTCCATTCTCTACCTTCCCATTCTGTTCCAAGCCAAGGAAGTCATACCATTCCCTAGTAAATATAAATGAAACAGTTCTCCATGATAAGTAAATCAGGAAAACACATTCACCCCCAGTCATTGTAATCAGCATATACAAAAGCCATATAAGTGTAAAATAAATGAACCAAAGGCCAATCTTACTAAGGAATTTGATGCAAAAATGTTAAATAAAATATTAGCAAACAGGGGGCGCCTGGGTGTCTCAGTCGGTTAAGCTTCTGACTCTTGGTTTCGGCTCAGGTCATGATCTTGGGGTCCTGGGATTGAGCCCTGCATTGGCTCTGTGCTCAGCTCGGAGTCTGCTTGTCCCTCTCCCTCCCCCTCTGCTCCTCTCCCCCTTCCCACACGGTCTCTTTCTCACCTAAATAAAATCTTAAAAAATATATTAGCAAACAGAACAGAAAAATATATTAAAATAATAAGACATCATGACCAAATGATATTCATTTCAGCAATATAAGGATGGTTCAATATTAGTGAATTTATTATGTAATTCATGGTATTAATCAAACTATGGAGAAAAAAATCCTACAATCATCTTGAGTGACATTTGATAAAAGTCAACATCCATTCATGGTTTAAAATACTTTCAATAAAATAGGATTAGATGGTAATTTCCTTAGTGTTTAAATCTATCCTAGTCAACCCAAAAGCCAGCTAGCATCATGCTTAAATGGGAAAACATTCTCATTAATGAGATGCATTCTCATTAAGGTTAGGAATGTCATAAGGAAACCATATCACTACTTTTATTTAATATTGTTCTGGAGATCCTAGAAACCAAAGAAATTAAGGTAACAAAATAAATTAGAGGTATACACCTTTTAAACAAAGGTAAAATTACCATTTAAAAAAATATTATTTATTTATTTGAGAGAGAAAGTGAGCAAGAAAGGGCACAAGCCAGGGGAGAGGCAGAGGGAGAGAGAGGAGCAGACTCTCCGCTGAGCAGGGAGCCCAATGTGGGACTCGATCCCAGGACCCTGGGTTCATGACCTGAGCTGAAAGCAGATGCTTAACCGACTGAGCCACCCAGATGCCCTAAAATTATCATTATTTACAGATGTTATGATTGCACATTTGGGGAGGACCCAGGAGAAGCCACTGGAAAGTGTTCATAAGCAAGGGGAATCTAGCAAAATGGATGGGTGCCAAAGTACTATACAGAAATCAACACATTTCAGGTATACAAACAATAGTAGGAAGATAGATCAAAAGATTTTATTTACAATAGCAATAAAAACTTATGTATTGCAATAAACTTAATAAATACGCCAAACCTGGCGTAAGATGTAAAGTTTAAAATATTCTGGGGGGGAGGAGTCACAAAAAAGAGAGCAAATGGAAAGGCAATTCATATCATATGGTTGTGAATTCTTGCCAAGTTTGTTTGTAAACTTCATCCCATAAAAGTAGTCGTAGGATTTTTTGGGTACATAGACAAGCTGATGCTAAATTCATATAGAATATCAAACAAAGCAGGAAGAGACAGGAAATTTCTAAAAGAGAGGATCAATCATGGAATACTCTTCCTACCTGATGATACATATATAAATTTAAAAAGGTATAAATATATAAAGTAAAATAATTAAAACAGTGTGGTACTGATACGTAACAGACAACTCAACAGAATATAATGGATGGTATCAAAATCAGTCCAAGTACTGATACATGACAAAGATGCCATCTCACATAAGAGAGAAGATGGGTTAGTCACTAAATTATTTTAGAATAACCAGGGAGACAGCTTAAGACAAAAACAAAAACAGGGTTAGATCCATACCTCACATTTGATATTAGGACAGTCTCCTGATATAAATATTTAAATGTAAAAAAGTTTAAAACAAACAAACAAAAAAGACTAGGAGCAACTATAAGAAAATTCTTCTATAAACTTGGAAGAAGCTCTTCCTGAACTATTATATAAAGTCTAGGAGTCATAAAATGAAAAATTGTATAACTACTCTATACAAATAAAAATTTTATGTGACAAAACCCACCATAAACAAAGTTAAGCACAAACAAGAAGCTGGAAAAAAATATTTGTAATTCCTATCACACAAAAGGGTTAAATTTCCCTTTTAATAGAGTCCCTTCATATCATTAAGAAAAATACCAACAATCCAACAGAAAACTGGACAAAAGACAGAAGTAATAGCTGACAGAAAAGGAAATACAAGTGAACTTTTAACATATGAGGAGATACTCAATCACCTATCAGATTGGTAACGATGAAAAAAAAAGTTGGGTAGCGCAATGGTTAGCGCAATTAGGGAAACACCACCCTCATGTTTTGCTGAACCAGCACCACTGTGATGGAGCACAATTTGGCAGCATTTATCAAAATCCCTGGTCCACAGATCCTTTGTTCCAGCATTTCCGCTTCCAGTACTGCCACATACGCCAAATGGCCCAAGTTCCCAGTTCATTTTTGCAGCACGGTTTGTAATAGCAAAAGATTGGAAATAAACTTGCATCCTAGGCGACTGGCTACCTACATCCACATCCACACAATGGAATACAGTACAGCTATAAAACATAGAGCTCTTTATGTGCTAATATACAATGATCTCCAAAATAAAATTAAAAGTAGGGGCGCCTGGGTGGCTCAGTTGTTGAGCATCTGCCTTCGACTCAGGTCATGATCCCAGGGTCCTGGGATCAAGCCCACATCGGGCTCCCTGCTCAGCGGGAAGCCTCTCTCGCTGTGTCTCTCTCTGTCAAATAAATAAATAAAATCTAAAAAAAAAATTAAATTAAAAGTATAATAAAAAGTGTGTCTAATATGCTAGCAAACTGCCTTAATGTAACGAAGAAAGAAAGAATATAATATGTAAATTTGCTCTTATATGCATGAATTCTGTCTGCAAAAATGCCCAAGAGCTGATGATCATCACATCTGTCCTCAGGGACATGACCTGGATGGCTCAGGGACAGGGAAGGGAGATAGGACTATTTATTTTGTGCATTTTGTACCCTTTTATTTTAAACCACATGAATGTATTATCTATCAAAAAATGCACAACACATTAAAGTTTATGATGGGGAATAAAGGATCTAGTTAAACTCCAGCCTGTTTGTGCTTATCCTGAGCGTGACTGAAAATAAAGTCTCTTGTTAATCTATGTAGCTTTCTGATTAAGGCACCAAAGAAGGAAAAGAATTTTTCATTTGAAAACTTAAGTTCTAAAATAAAAGGTAAGTAAGAAAAAAGTTAACAAAATAAGTAAAAACAAAGTTGCTCAAGAACAGGGATAGGAGGCTCAGTCGGTTAAGTGTGTGACTTTGGCTCAGGTCATGATCTCGGGGTCCTGGGATCGAGTCCTGCATAGACCCCCACATCGGGCTCCGCACTCAGTGGGAAGTCTGCTTGAGATTTTCTCCCTCTGCCCTTCCCCCTGCTCGTGCTCTCTCTCAAAGAAATAAATACAATCTTAAAAAAAATAGGAATAGGAGAATCACAGTTTGTTTAAAGCCAACAAATAAATATCAAAAACAAAATAAATCATGTGAGTGTTTAACTAAACTGTCGGTAGGGATATATACCAAAACTTTGGCAAGGAGGAGAGGGGGCAGAGAATAGATGTTACTTTTTTTTTTTAAAGATATTTCTGTATTGTTGGATTATTCCAGTTCTTGATGTATTAATTAATTCAATAATTTAAAAAATTACAATCATATTTAAATATAAAAAGGCCTAAGTTTCCATTGGTAACCAAATATATGTGTGTTTGAACAGTAAATTAAAAAAATGCAAGCTTAAAAGAGGTACCATTTTTTGACTAGTAAAACAGCAGTGTTTTTAAAATGTGGTACTCCATACAGGTGACAGTATGGTGAAAAAGTTATTTCATACATTAGCAGTGAAATATAAACTGGTACCTTTCCCTCCATTTAATTCATATTTATAACATGCAGTGTAAGATATAACACAGAAAACTCCCATGTATCCTTTATCCAAACTGTTAAAAAATAATTCGTTAGTGCAAATTTAAAAACTTAAAAATATTTGCATCTTTAATCCAGTAACCTCATTTCTTGGGACCTATCCTAAAACAAAAATAATTCAAAGGAAAGAAAAACCTATATGCATAAAAATGTTCATTCAATACCATATATAAAATACCAATATATTCATATGTATAATTTATATATACATATACATCTATAAATTAATAAAACAGTTATTTTCTAAATAAAAAATAATTTACTTAATGAAACAACATGTCCACTAGATATAATAGTTTACTGCCATCAAATCGCATTTATGTAAATGATGTGCTGTCGTAATAGCTAGGATATATTGATTTTTAAAAATACAATTTGGGGGGTAAAACTTAGTAAAAGTTGCCATATAGGGATAATGAGCGGGCAAGTGGTGAGATTATGGTTGATTCTTTGTCTTTTTCAAAACTCTCTGTAACATCATTTCAAACTTAATTTTTTCTTAATTTTTCAAATTCAAGTTTTCCTACTTCCGTCAGAATTTAATTTGGGAAGAAGGAGAAAGTGAAAAATGCCTGTTCTTAGTCCAGTAAGAAAGACTAACTGCCCAGCAAGAACTGCAGACTTTGGTTAGGAAAGTGCCACTTACTTGCATCTTTGTCTGGAGAAGGAGGACGGACCCTCTGCCCCAGGCAGGTGCTACTGAAAGGCTGTGCCAACTTCTCCAGGGGCTGGGTGCTGTCCGCCGGCTCCCCTGCCCCCCTGGGGGTGCTAAAGAGGTCCTGGAGGTCCTTTCTTTGTTTGGATTCTTGGAGGGAACTCTCAAAAGATTTGTCTTTGAGTCTGAAGGAGGGAAAGAGCGAGATTTTTCCCTTTGGAACCTGAGAAGCATCTGGGGATGTCTCTTGCAAACTCACTTTCTCAAGGAGTGTGGGAACATCTTCCATCTTGTGGCGGGGCGGGGTCATGAGTGCAGGAAACATCTTGGACGGTCGGTTGGGCAAGCTATGGGTGCAGAGGGCAAGGTCAGGAGGGTTAGGGTACGATGGCTGGGCAGCCCTGGCAGGTGGGGAGGCCCAGGAGAAGAAGGCTGAGGCCCTGCTCGCCATGCCCTTCCCCGGGGACTGCTGGTTGCCGTCTTTATTGGAGCTGGTTTTGCGAAGACTGAAGGAGCGAGTGCAAGCATGCGGCTGGCTGGTGGGCGAGGTCTTTGATTCTGGCTTGGCAGAGGCCTTCCTCCCACCTTCCGAGTTGGGGAGGAGGGGCTCCAGGGACCTTCGGATGGCATTTGCTATGAGCCGAAGTGGGGACTTGGGTGGAGCCCGTTCAGCTGGGGTCCCCGTCTTCTCCTGAGCCCTTCCTTGGGGGGGCGGGGTCTCTCTCGCTGTCCGGGGGAGCAGCAAGGGACTAACTGGTTTCAGGACACAGCCTCCCCTACCACTGTCAGTACTTCTCTGGGCAGACTGTGCCCCAGCTTCCAGGCTCATACTCTCAGGGATGGAATGGTTCCAGTCCAGCAGCTTTGTCTTCTGCTCCGGAGTGAGGACTAACTTCTTCAAGTCCAGCTTCTTCCCCTCTTCCAGCTCTGACCCATCCTCCTCTCCTCTTCTGGGTCCAGTGTTCTTTTCTCCTGGGTCCTCTCCAGCCCTGGGAGATAGCTTTTGGTCTGGCAAGCACCTGTCTTTCCCTCCAGTGGGGTGAGGGCCTCTGCGGATGCTTCTGGTATTCCGAAGAGGGGCCTCTGCTCCCTGACACCCATCGGAAGCCATCTCTGCAAGGCTGGGCGGCTGGGGGCTGGTGAGGCCATCTCCACCAGGCCTCACCATGCAGTACTCTGCCCGCTCCAGCACTTGGCCATGAGGCAGATACAGGGGCATGTCCTTGGGTAACCCTTGGGCTCTGGCACGCCTCAGAAAGATTGGAGTGGAAGGGCTGGAGTGACCTCTTAAGACCTGTGAGGGCAGGTTGTTAGCTGTCACCTAGAGGGGATAGGCAAAATGAATGGTTATTTAGGAATTCCCAGCATTTATTTATATGGGGAGGCATATCTCAGCCCATGGCCCCCTCCCTTGCTCTCTTCAGATCTCAGACACCCAAAGTCTGAAAGAAATCTGCCGAGGATGATTTCAAAGGGCTGCTCTTCATTCTAAGTGGCTGCTTCAGGACCTGCTGGGATCTGCTTGGAGTCCCTGTAGCAGGACTGATCAAAGGCTTTGCTGGGTGCTGGATTAGGTGGGTAGGAAGCCAGAATGGAAGGCAAAGGCACGGACAAGCTCCCTGGCCAGCCAGGCAGAGCTGGCCTGGCCCCTGTGAGTGGCCAGATGTGTACGGGAGGACAGATACCCCATGGCTGGCTTGGCCATGGTCCTTACTAAGGGGTACATTGCACCCATAGGTATGTTCCTCCAACAACCAAGAGGCCAAGGCTTCTTCCTTGGAGATTATTAAGTTAAGGACAGACAGTTCCCCCTCTGGGCTGTGGTGGCAGAAGGATGGCCTTTAGGACTTTTCAGTGACCCTTCTAAACCTGACTCATGCTTTGCACCATTGAGAAAGTAGTCATTTGAAGCATGCAAGGACTTGGCCCTTGGCAAAGGAAGAGCATAGGGAAATTCTAGGAGTGGCTGTGCCCTGCCAAGAGCTCTGGTGCCTGAGGGGCAGGTCATAGGACAGGAACTTACAAGAGCATGTACCTTTCTTCATCTTGTGCACCCTATTTTTCAGAGCCTAGACCAGGGTCCAGCAGGTAACAGAGGCTTGATAAACTCATACTGAAGGATAAAGATCAAACCTGAGTATCTCAGTGATGCCATTTTCTTTTCAAGGGGGGATGTGCTTCCAAGAGTCTCAGCTGCTACCAAAGGCAGCCTCAGTCTGTGTCTGCCTTCCTTCAGCTGTGAACTCCTCAAGGTCATCTGCCAGGCCATCAAGGGCAGAGCATATATCCTAGCATCTCTGCATGCCACAGTCCTGCCCAGAGTCTGTGCCCCACAAAGTCAGCTTAGTGAGTGGCTGTGCCCCGGGGCTGGCTGAGAAGGAACAGGATGAGTGAGCCTTCATGAAAAGGACAAGTGAAGCAGGCCTGGGTGGACTCTTGACAGAGCATCTCATGGCCGTGGCTTTGCACTTGGGTGACCTAAGAGTGCTAAGAATCCGGAATTAAGTGTGGAAGTGGGTGGAGCACGAGCAGCTCACCTTCTGAACACCTGCACAGGGCCCCAAAGGGCATTTACCTGAGGTAGGGAGAAGCCATCCAGAGCATTCCCCGGGACACTGGCTGAAGAAAAAGATGGCAGCGAAGATGAGGGAGAAGATAATGAGGAAGAAGAAAGAGGAGCAGCTTCCTTTGAAGGTGACATAGTTGTTTTGTTGTTCACTGGCGTCAAACCTACCAAGGAAAGAACATACTCTCCATTACAGAGCTGTTATTACCTTATTTTATCATGAAAAGAGGAGGTTTTAAGAGAAGCTCCAACTCAATAAATAGAGTCAGAGGGAGGAAGGTGTTGGAGACTGATTGAGAGGCCCCAATGCTGAGCTTGACCTTAGGAGGAACAGGTGAGGAGTGACAGCCTCCTGTGGGGGAACGGAGGTCCAAGGATGAAAAGTCTAGGAACCATCGCACTTCGCACTCAGGATGTTCCTGAGAGATGGAACAGGGAGTCTCCAGGGCATCTCTTGGAAATGGGCGCCTACCTCTAAAGTTTCCCCTGAAGCCATTGTGGTTGGGGTCTAGGCTGCGTTAAGTCACTTAGTCAATAAACCACCTGAGGCCTCTTCCCACAAGATGCTGGACCATTAGCCGTGGGCGTGGGCAGGGTAGACCGTCACCGCTAATGAATCGGGGGCTTCCTTCTCACACGGGCGCCAAGGGGCTCTCAGATGAGATGGTTAGTTTGAGATTTTAAGAGAACACTAGGGAGGGAGGTTATAATGAGCATCAAATCATTTGAGGCATATGGAGTGGGGTTCGTGCCAAGCTCCCGTTGGTCAGGGAACAAACGAGGTGCAGTGTGTGCGCTCAGAGTGACGGGAGAAAGGAGTGTGTGGCTGGGACCCTGAGGACGCGCCTCATTCTGCTCTGTGGGAGCTGGAGTCCATTTGTCTGGTAACTGCAGAAATGTGACAGTTGTAGCCTGTGAGCTCAATCTCTCTCTCTCTCTCATGAGTGCACACACGCGCCCTCTAGTAACCTTAAACCTAAAATCTCAAGAGCTTTGCTTCTGTAACAGAGCATCCCAATAATATGTCCTCAGAGGGATTCAGGAAATGCCACACTCCATTTTGGAATTGTCCGCTCAGCGTCTGACCCTTCAGCCCAGCCAGCTCTCCTGTGAACCCTCCCAGCAAATAAGGCTACCCCCCAGAGACTTCCCAGGACCAATGTGCATCTACCCACTCCTGTCCCACTCCCTGCCTGCGGCCGTTCTGCTGACCCATTCCGATTTCCTTCCAAGTTGTCCAGCCTTCAGATGTTAGCTCACTTCCTAACTCAAGACAATCCCCTGCCTCAGTTTCCCCAAAGCTTCGGGTGAGACGCTCCTCCTCTGGAACCCATACAGGCCAGGCCAACCGCACCCTCAGAAGTTCGGTTCTTCAGGATTCTGTCCTGCTTCCCTTGTACACACAGGCAAGTGTGTCAGAGTGTGTATCGCAGTCCTGGGCTCTGGAAAGACGGCCACCACACACACATGTTCCACAGGCTTCCAAAGCGAAGCCCTCCAGAAAGCTTCTGAGGGAAAAGATAACTCAGGGAAAGAGATCTGAGGGTGGCAGGAAGGGGCTGCTGGGAGGAGGCCCGGGGCTGCCAGGAGCCGATGCGGGGGAGGCAGCTGGCCAGCCTGTCACCCAAACCCTCAGTGCAGCCCACAATTAGATGGTTCGAGCCTAAAAAGGCAAACGCTGTGAGTCAGTTGTTGCCTTGCTTCCTGTCTTCCGCTTGCCAAATTCCTGCCAAATTCCTCCTCCTCCTCTTCCTTGCCCCCTCATTCTCTTCCCTCTGCTACCTCCTGAATCAAACTCCTCAGCTTGTCTCAGAGGCCCCTCAGCTCAACAGACTGCTTCTTTGTTCCCCCCTTCTGACACAGATCCAGGGACACCTTGGGAACCAAACCTGACAGGAAAGCCTTGGGGTTCACAAGGTCATGACCCAGGGACTTCTCCCTCCCTCCTTTCTGTAATCCCTGCCCCCCCCCTCCCACCAGTGAGGCCTCTCTGCACACATGTTCCTCATGCACTGACTTCAGGAGAACCTGGGCGGAGCTTGAAGGGACACCTGCCGGTCAAGCTGCCACCTGGGAGAAGGCCAGAGCTAAGCTGAGAGGCGGCAGGAGATCTCACCTGCCTGAGGTGGTCAATGTCTTTGGGTTCCCTCAGAGAATGGCAAAGGGGAACCTGGAACCCCACCTCCTTCACACCCCCTCCAGCTGCCTGACACTTTCCTCCTGTGAAAAACGGGCTGGCTAGCATTGCTTCATGGGGAGGCTGAAGGAATAAAATGGGATAAAAAGCAGTGCCCGGGGTAGAATGCAAAGTCAATGCTGCACGCTAGCTAAATATGAACTCTAATCTCTGTCTTCCTCCCACGCGCACAAGTTGTGTCCAATAAACACAGCGCTGAACGGGTGACCTGCTCCAGAGGGGGCTGCATACCCCTACCCTGGCCAGGATTTCTCTAACTCGTAGGCCCAGGATTCCTCATTCAGCAACTCAGATCCTTCTCTGCAAGTTCCTTCTTGTTTTCCTTGGACGCTTGGCACAGTCCAGCCAGGCTGCCCTGCCCTCTGCAGGGGCCTCAGTCCCGGGTGCTGCCAGCCCTGCTGCTCCCATCATGCAAAGGGCTTGATGAGCAGAGCGCGCCTGGGTTACAGCGCCCAAGCCTCCTTTGGCTCAGCTGCCTCTTCTCTGGGCCCTCTGGCAGTGACCTTTCCCCTTGGTTCTAGAGGTCACTGTGGTGACTATGGTCAGCAGGGGGAGGGTGAGAAGGGCACTCACACAGCTCCCTCTGTCCTCCCACCTGGCGCTGGGGCCAGAACCGCCTTGACCGGGCAGTAAATGGACCCAGGAGACGGTGCCCCAGGTCCTGCTCCTTACTACAGTAGGACCAGTGTTGCCCCCTGGGGTTTCCTCTTGGGCAAAATGAAGATGACCAAAATGACGGGTGTGAGGATTTTTAAAAAGACTGGGATTCCGGGGTGCAGCTTCCCAAAATTTGGAGTTCAGGCAATGCTCAAATCTCCCAGTCTCAGCGCGCCCTCTAGGGGCAGCCGCCTGCGCAGGCTGAACTCATGGGCTCCATTCGTTTCTTCACTCGGTCCAGCCTGCTTGTTCCTTGGTTCTATGTTCGTTTGTTCACTCATTTACTCATTCATTCAGCAAGCAACAACTGGACACCTCCTCTGGGCCAGACCCATACAAATGACCCCAACTCAAGGCCTGCCCTCAAACCAGCTTTTATATATACTTGAGAACCAACATCTGGGATAACTAAAGACCCGCCAAGGTCCTCAGGCCCATCCCAGAAAACCATGCTGCTGGTTAGCAGTCCTCTCTCTCCTGTGCCTCCTCCAGCGTCCCCTAACCTGCTAGGAGGGGCCCCCACCAGTCTTGCAGCTTGCACCCCAGACTGGGAACTTCTCGAGGGCAAAGGCCGAGCCCCTTGTACTCCTGGAGCTCAGTGAAGTCAGCTGGAAGTGCTGGGTGGAATCTGTACTCAAAAGGACACCCCCCCACCCCACAGAAGCAGAATTCCTGTGATCTGGGGAGGGGCTCGGGGAGGGGGGGAGAAATGAAGTGACCCAGGCCTTCAGTAAACATGAATTCTCTTCTCTCGTCACCCTCAGTGCCTGGGACTGCAAGATGATTCCAGAGTCATTTCAGGGTGTCCCAGGTGGAGTGGCTTGCCGGGGTGCAGCTGTGGTCCAGCTCCAGAGGCACCCATTATCCCAGCCTCACCCAAGGAAGGGGGCGCCTGGAGCCTGAGGGTTGCTGGGAGAATGACTCACGGGCCAGGAGTCCGTGTTGACTCAGAAGGAAGGAGCAACTAACTAGTGTTCTGTTCCAACTTCAACAATGGCTCTTTTTAGAAACTTCTGTCTAACCCAAGGCTTTCCTGGGTCCACCTCTCCCAGAGCAAAGCCCAGAGAGAGAGAGTGTGGGGGCAGGGGGAGATGCAAGGTAGACTTGGAGATGGATTAGAGGGCCCGGGGGAGGGGGGGCGGTGGGGGGGGATGCCTGCCCTGTAAGGGAGGCAGCACGGAGAACATGGCCAGCCCCGGGGTGCTGTTCCACTGTGAGCGGGGTTACTGTGCCCCCTAGTGGGGTCCGGAGGCCTTGGCGTCCGCTGCAGCCGCTGGTCCTCACCCAGCCCTGTTCTTCTCAGGGATGCTGGGATCAAAGCCTGCTCAGAAAAAGAAGCGGGTGTGTTTGTATGGATGGGTGTGTGAGTGGGTGTGGGTGTGGCTTCCTTCACTGCTTTGCCCTGATGCCCCCAGTCCAACTCCAGTGCACAAAATGAAAATACATAGAGGCTCTGGATCTCAGTTTCCTCATCTGTGTTTCACAAAGCTTGGGGCCAGTGATTACTAACACCCCTTCCAGGTGCAGCTGTAGAGCTCTAAGGCTCCATGGAGCCTTAGAGAAGGAGAAGGAAAGGCCCCAAATCCTTGGAAAATGCTTCCTCGAGTCAGCCGTGGGAACAGTCAACCTTCTGTTTCTTTCCTTGCCCCTAACATCCAGGAGGCCAGGTCAGAGAGGACATGCATGCAATGAGAACAGGTGCCCTTGAGAATTGACCAGAAGACACTGCCCATGCCCCTCCCCTCCCACTGCCAGAGAGCTCATGACTCACTCGACTGGAATTTTCTTCTCCAGCTCTGGTATTTGCTGGGAGGTGGAGACTGGAAGCTACTGGCCCGTTGCAGAGCTGTGGTGGAAAAAAGAAAGGGGCAGGGGAGATGGGGAGGGAGGAAGAGTCTGTTAAACTTACAGAATAACCATGGGGTTTTCTCCTATGGCACATTTTATGGACTAATACTCATAATTAACTGAGCCCCTTCCTTTTCCAGACTGCATCTTCCCATCCCTAAGACACACACCTCCAACATTTCATTTGCTCATTCATTGAATATGTATTGAGGCCCTGCTATGGGACAGGTACTGCCATCATTCAGAAAATGCCTCAAATTATGAGCCATCATTCTAACTTGCCCACAATTAACATGCATGTATACGTGTGTACGTGCACACGTGTATGTACGCATACCCATATATACGCATGCTTTTACGCACGCTTGTTTGCTCGTTTTTAGCAGAGCAGTTCTTCAAAGCTGGTCTCACATCAATGTCCCGTATACGTAGTAGATAAACCGGAGCTGTTCTCATTGAAACCTGGAAG